CTAAAAAAAAAAAAAAAAAAAAAAAAAATTTTTTGCGCGTATTTTGATTTTAAAGTATAAATATCAGATGATGTCCCAGTACTCCCTGATTTGATCATCCTTACCAAACCAAAAAAAAAAAAATTTTAGTCATCTTTTCAATTTTTCTTCTTTCTTTTCAAATTATTATTTTAAATTAGTAGTTATAATTCTTATGGAGATAAAGAAATCAGTTGTTCTTGGTATATGTGCCGTCGCAATAGTCGGCATTGGTTATGCCGTATACTGGGACTACTTACGACAAACCGACCCAGAATTCCGAAGGAAATTGAGTGAGTATATTTGAGAACTTTTGACTACAAAGTTTTTAAACTTTTAATGTCAAATAATTTATGAATTTTTACTTTTTCTGATCATATATTAAAATTTTTTTATGTGTAATAACTGACAATATTAGAAAAGAATAAGAAAAAAGCAGCAAAAGCAAGAAGGGCTGCTGCAGAAGAAACCAAAGTTAAGACGGCTGATTTTCTCAGAAAAGCTGTCGAACAAGTTGGTAGTGAAAGTTTCCCTACTGATGTTGCTGCAAAAGAAAAATACTTTATGGAACAAGTGGCTAAAGGTGAAAGTTTGTTCGCTGTAGGTGAGTATATGCTAGTTTAATATATAATTTGTATACATTAATTTTCTTTAACAATTAATTTTATTTTATAAATTTTAGGTGAATCTGGTTATCACGACGCTGCTCTCTGTTTCTATAAAGCATTGAAAGTTTATCCTAATCCAGTGGAATTAATTATGATATATCAAAAGACCATACCTGAAGCTGTTTTCACTTTGGTTTATGAAATGATGAGCATTGAGGTAGAAAATCAAGTCTCGGAGGAATAATTAATATTAAAAAAAAATTAAATTATTGTATATAATTGTTTATATTTTTTGTTAATAATGAAATGAACATAATTCATTATTTGTTATTCACCTACGACGTAGGTGAAGAAAAAGCAAGCAGAATATTTTGAAAATTTTCCACCAAAAGAAATGAATGTCAAGGTACAGGAAGTCAATCAAATTTCAACATCTGATGACCTTGTTCGTCGCGCTCTCATTTCCACAAAGGATTTCGAACCTGGTGATGTCATCTTTGTTGAACATCCTATTGCTTCTGCATTAGATCCAAGCCTTGAAGTATGTATTTTTTGAAATATAATATCTTAACACTATATTAATATAAAAAACGCATACAACCTAAGAAATCGGTGATGAATATTGTATAAAAGATAAACATTATAATTTCCAAATATACTCAATTATATATTGAGTTCCAAATATACTCATTTATATATTGAGTTTTTATTGGAAATTTGATATAGATAAACTAATCGATATTGTAATTAATATAAATATTTCTTAATTAGCTGGTCTACTTATATTTTATTTCATGATTTGAAAATTAGTTGAATCTCATTTAAAATTGTTATGATATAGGGTAATGAATTTTGCAGTTATTGTCTCAAAGAATTGAATGGTGCAAAATTCGTCGATGAAAGTGATCTATTTGGTGCTATTTATTGTTCCGAATCATGCAAAGATAAAGCAATGACAGAATATGAGACTCTTCTTTTCACAACTAGAGATGATTCTCCCTCTAGTAAAGAAGCTAGATTAAAGGATTCGGTTAAATCAGGAAAAGTCAAATATCCTTTAATGATCGCTAGATTTTTGGCCAAAATGGTACATGAAGAAACACAGAAAGTTGCTACTGGAATTGAAGAAGAGTATAGCACTTGGGATCATATTGAACGATTAAGATTTTTATCAGTTAACCCTTCTGATAAAGAGTCCAAAGAAATTAAATTGATGAGAGATTTATTTGAAACAAAAGTGCCTGGTATGGAAGAATTTATCTCTGAAGAAAGATATTTAATGCTTAAAGGTAAACTTTTGTATAATGCCTATGGTATACATACTGATCATAATATAAAAGAGGTATTTATAATAATTATCATTATATCTTAATGTTATTATATTACGTTCATTACTTATAATCAATTATTTTAAATTATAGAATTTGGAAGAAACTGTACGTAGCAGTCAACCAAATGTTATTGGTGCTGGTTTCTACAGAGTTGCTTCATACCTTGCTCATAGTTGTAGTCCAAATACAGAAGTAAGGTTTCCTGATAATAATAATGTATTGTCTATTGTCGCTACTAAACCTATCAAAGCTGGAGAAGAATTGAGAATCAGCTATATCAGAGTTGGAGACAGAAATTGTAGTAACAGAAGAAATGAATTGGAAACAAAATGGCGGTTTAATTGCACATGTACCAAGTGTTTAGAAGAAACGGGAGAAGTCGATACAACTGCTTAATATTTCGACTTTATCTTAATATTTTAAACTTCGTTAAATGTATTCGATATTTTGAACTGAGATTAATAATATTATAATAATTTCTTAAAATTTGAGAGAAAAAAAAGATAATTAGCGGATGAATGAAAAATAATCGAACCAAAATTATATCAATTATAATTATTTGACAAAATAAACTAAAAGGAAATTTCCGAACATGTTATTCATTTCTATATTTAAATAAAGAATTATGAATTAAAGAATTTTCCAGTACTTCTATTCTTTTTTTTACGCTTTGTTTATTTTCTAAAGAAATTGCAGACTGATTTATATAATAATTAATCTAAACAGTAATAATAGTGTAGAGTGGTGACGATAAGATGATTTCGAGTTAGAAGGTACAGCATTTGCTAAAATCGAAAAAAATTCCAGTCAATAATAATAATAATAATAATAAAGAACCTCTTGAACAATATATTAGCTAGCGTAAAAACTCAAAGTCTGAATAGCTAAACATAAAGATAAATTAAAAATACATTAGTCTAAATAGATAGAAATGAAAATATTTATAATAAATAAATAATTTACCTGTATTATCAATCTATATCTTTTATTAATCACGTTAAAAAAAGCGTAACAAACGCGTTTTCTTAATTCCATTCATCAATAGCGAATTCATCAAGATACTTAGAATCTTTAGGATTTCTAATTTCGTGTTTTATACCATGCTTTAGTGGGTTTTCACTAACGTGTTGGAGATATTCTTGATAAGTAACAACATATTTTGCACTCTGGTAACGTGTAAGCACTATTCGACTTCGAATCTTATCCGTAATTCGGCCATTGTAACCGCCCTTGCGAAGAAGAGAGTCGATGGCTTCTTCTTTGGTCCAGCCTAGAAATTTGAATAAATTTTATTATTTTTAATCTAATCCATAGTATTAAATTATCAAAATAAACTTTTGATATACCTTGCTCTTCTGTAACCTCAGGCAAATAAGTAGCAGTTCTGCGGCGATTATGATCGTCAACAAATTCAATCCAAATACCATGAACACCAATCTAATAAAAACTTATCTTAAAATTTCCGTTGAGAAGGTGTATTAAAGTAAAAAGTTTAAGGTAATAACTTTACCTCCCAGTCAAGATAATCTTTGGCGTCCTCGAAATTTGTCAACAACGATACCCTATAACATCAAGAAATCAAATGAGTTAATACACAAATAATAAACGATATAATTATAAAATCAAACAAGAACAAACCCGCAAGTAAGATGGGGCAATTCTCGAATAGTGATAGGCGAGAACCTTCTATCGTGAATCGCACTATTTGGCAAAAAAAAAAATAATCCAAATGAAACAGAACCGCGGAATTAATAAAAGGTATCAAAGAATCAAACAATAGTCACATAGTCACCTAGTAATAGCGTATTCTTTCAATCCAGAATGAAGAGGTAAAGGTTCAAAATTACCAATGCAACCGCGCAAACGGGTTTGACCATGATTAACGATATTCCATGTAACAAAGAGCGGACTTCATTCATAAATAAGTAGTATTTAATTAATATAATATTTTAGCTCATCAAAATAATTTGGTTAGTCTAACAATTAATATATGTATTTAAATATAACGAAAGCTTACTACTGGTTGTTCTCGAATTCTGGCTCCAAAGGCATCCTTCCTTCAAGGTAAGCAACGAGAACATCGAAACAGTAAACACAATGTTCAATGCCGACAACCATTTTATTAGCACTTTATTAAAGATGGTTGAAGTAAACTAGGGGAAGTGAAGCTTTTTGAACAAAGCCTCGAGAATTCTTGAAAATATCAAAAAAGCTCGAACGCTGTTGAACGTGTTCTTAAGCGTGACGCCAAGTATTTCACGGGGAAATTGTGCTTGACAACAGCGAACGAGCGTAATATGCTTGAAGAACGTTAAAATGGAAAGGCGATGATACTCTTACGGATTTAAAATGGAGTAGATGCCGACCCCGGAAATTTATATCAAATATGGTTCCATTCCGGCAAATTTTATCATACTATAAAAGGTGAAAAATCCCGTGACAATGCTTGATTTCACGTATGTCGTACATTAAAATATTGTACAAAAAACTCTAAAATTTCCTCACTCTTTCAATAATGATCGCATTCCAATTTTTTCTTTTAGTTTTATTATTGTTCTTATTGAATAAGGCAGAATCAATTTCCAGACATAGACATACATTTTTTTTTGAAGAGGATGCTCTTGACGCGTTTACGGAGGATACGATACAAATTCTCGGAAAACATGCTGTTAGAGTCAATAATTTTACTGGAATACGGGAGTGGAGGGTCAAAACGACACCTGAAGAAATTATAAAGGTAGTAAAGGCTATTGTTCGTTTGGCTTTAAAGTTCAAATGACAGAATAGCCAGTTACTGGAATATTATCTTTTCAATAGTCAGTAACACAATCAACCGCTTGGAGTGAAAATTGGACATTACGTGTTCAAATAGCGTCTGAAACCCAAACTCTCTTTCATCCTTTAAATATTGTTCCTGTACCTGGAATCCATATTGGTATCTCTTTAGGTAACCAAACGTTTAGCGAAAGGTACTTATAAATACGAATAATCAGATATTTTATTTCAAATACCTAATCTCACGATATTTTTAGACTAGGCTACAAGAATATGGATTTTTTGACCATATGCAAATATCTTGATGCATTACTTGGTGTAGTAATGTGTGATAAGGAAAAATCATCGAAACGTACGGTACGTTTAGACGTAAAGATAAAATCTCAATAAAATAGGATCGTGTTGAATTGAAAAAAAATTATAATCCTATCTAAAAGTATCATATAGATCTTTTGAATTCGATTTCCCTTCCTGATGGAAATATCTATTATTATTCATCAATTCCATCTTATGATGTACCGAGTTCATCATCAATATTGGGAAGAAGGTCATCTAAAGAATATCGTCGTCCAGCTATTATAGATCTTCATTTTAATTTTGATAAAAAGACGAACAAAACTAAAGCAGAATTAAGAATGATTTGGAAGTATCAAAATCAAAATATAGAAATTAATAAAGATAATCAGGATGATAGAGTCGAACTGGGAGTTTTTGGTCCGCAATTAGACTCTGAGTCTATTCTTGGCGAGAAAATTGTATTTGGCGAAGATGACCAACCTGGTGTGTATTGCAAATTTTTTTTATTCATTCGTTTATTTCAATAACTGTTTATCTGACTAATATTACGGATTGACCGCTATTAACGGATAGAACCAACAATGGTTACTGAATATCCTAGAACTCTCTCTTCTGATTCATTTTTTAATTCAAGCATATATCCCTCTCAAAGTTTTCATCCTTATTTTAGTACATCAATTAAATATTCGGTAATAGAAGACAAGTGTAAAGACTATATCCTTTATGTATTACCTAATTCTTTTTTTGTAGATGTATACCAACTTAAAGATAAATTCTCGGATGAACAGATCAAGGTTTGGGGAGAAACAGATTTGGAAATTCCTTTTGGAGTGGCGTCATTAAAATGGGGTAGTCTGATTTTAATTGCAAAGCAAAGTTCAGAGGACTTGTGTGAATTTAGTTTACCACTTCATATGAGATATCAACCAGCCATTTCTGGAAATACGCAAAGTCATGTATTTGCAAGAGCGCCATGGCCATTTGTTATACGAGTTTGTGAAAGTATAAAAAATGAACCGCGAGGTATTATTTTATTATTATTATCATTATTAAAGAAAAAAGATTGAATTTTTTTTTTCTTTTTGAGCAGAACCATTATTTGCACCTACCCCTCTTCCCTTATCTCTCTTATTTCCATCAACAACAGAAATAAAGTACCTTCTTCCAAAACAAGAATTCTTACGTAGCACTTCTTGGCCAAGAGAAGTAGTTAAAGTTCCTATAGGTCAATTAAGTCATTTAAAATTTGTTGAATGGTGGACAATTATAGTAGCATTAGCGGGTTGCGCTTGGGTAATATGGATTGCTTTGAAGAAAGTATCTCAATGGCGATATAAAGGTGATAATGATAAAATTGACTGAATCAGAAAATTACATAGATGTTTAATATTCATTTAAGTTCATGTAATTGAAATTATTTATGATAATAAATATTCTAATTTTAGTTATCAAATTCTTTTTATAAGAAGTATTTATTTTCGTAGGCTCCATATACATATATATACACATTCGCAGACTTTCAGAAATTTTCTTCCATATTAGCATAACGGGCAATTATGTGCAATTTACCACATCCGTCACCACAAATTAAATTATACATATATTATTAGTGGTCTTTTAACTCTCCTAGTGATGATAAAAAATTATATTTGTTACTTTCATTAGCTCCAAAATTTCCGATATTCTCACGTAAATTTGAAATAGAATTTGATCACAATAATTAATTAGATGATGATATTATGAAGTGTCTCGTAAATTCGATGAACGTCTTAATAGTTTGTGATCATTATATTATAATTTGAATATGTTGCGGGATTTCTTTCCTTTGAAAAGTTGGAATACCGAATTTTAGGGCAATAGCTAAGATGGAATGAGTGAGGATGAATGAAATGAATGAACGAAGAATGAATGATGGAATGATAATGGAATGCTAAGAGTGAAGCGAAACAACATTACGGTTAAGTTAAAAAGGAAAACCCAATTTAAATTCGAACGACCTTGAACATATTTCTTCTATTATACCACTCCACCTAACTATTTGAATTAATACTACTATGTTTATTCAGAACTTATAATCCAATTATTATCCGAAATCAGAAATATTTGAAAATCCAACTTTACGTTCTTCCCTTTGTCATAATACCTCCTGTTGATAAAGGGGTTGATGATGAAGCTGCAGAAGTTCCTAATGTTGAATTTGATGAATGTTCTGAATTATTCCATATTTTTATCTATAACAAAAGTGAATTAACCCCATAGCATTTGGTGTGATTGTGTAATATCTTCAATTGAAATTTGATAAACAAATAAACTAGTCATTTAAAGATAGCAGTTTTAAATTGTACAGTCAGAACTTGATATAACGATTCGTGATAACGATTTTATTATAAATTTCGTGATATTACATATAACGAATTCTAGTTGTAAACCAGTCATATGTATTAATCCAATAACGATTTTTTTCTCATCATTGTTAGAATTTTTTTGATGATCGCTAATCTATATAACGGATTATTCTTAATATGGTTAAATTATAAAAACAGAAATTTCCACGTCGCGCAGTATGCAGTACATGCGCAATAATAACGTGATATTCAGAAATTATTAAGCCGGCTATACTACATCATTAAAATTCTTTTTTTATCATAATTAACTTTAAACTGCAAAACATTTTTTTTAATTTGCTTTTTTTTTTACATTAAACTGAGAATTTTAAATGAATTCAATTTATATTTATTACTTATTTAATAAATTTTTCAAAAAGTAAAAAAAAAAAACAAAACTTTTAAAGATATTAAAATGTAGCTTTAAAATTCAAAATTATTTTGCATTTAATATATTTTAAGCAAACTACATACATTTTTATAATTTGAATAATTTTTTACTATATGCCAAATGCTAAAATTAATCCAATTTAAAGAATAATTTCTTATTATTCTACTATAATGATTTAATATAGCTAATTTTTTTGATATTTACTTTTTTATATTATTTTGATAGTACAAAGGAAGGGTAAAATTATAATGTAAAAAAATTTATATATATAATAATAATTATTAGTTAATAAATTAAAAATTTTTTAAATAATAATTTGTTTTTTTTTTTAAATATAATTTTTAATTAACTAAATATAAAAAAATTAATTTAAAATATATTTATATTACAATTATAAAGAATTTTTATATATTATATTTATTTAATAAAACATTAAATATAAATTAAATTACATTAAATAATAATTATAATTACAATTTTGATATTATTAAACTAACTTATATATTCAGTTATACTATAATTCAATTTAAAATTTTAAATTTTAAAATTCATTTATTAATATATTTTTTTTAAAATTTAATACCTTTATAACTATTAATAATTTTATTAATAATAAAATTGTTTATTTAAATATATAAATATTCTAAATATAATAATATACTATTACTTAAAATTTTATTTATATCAGAAAATACTAATATTGGTACTTTTGTTATCAACTTTATTATTTTAAATTTAATTGGTGATGTATTTAATAATAAACAATTAAAATATTATATATATATAATAATATAATAATAATATTTTATTAAAATCCAATACATATTTCTTATTAGTAGATAATTAGTTATATACTGAAATTTCAATAAAATTTAAATGATAAAGATTATATATATACATATTAAAATAAATAAATTTATTGATTATTATATTTCTAAATTTTGTCATACTTCTGATAAATTTATATTTTATATTAAAAAAAATCAAATAATATTAATTAAAATAAAATACCTGAAAAAAACATTTATATTTTGATTTAATTTCTTCATTACTAATAAGATTTCTATATCATGTATATTGTAAATACCTTCAAAAGCAATTTGAAACTGGCGCAAAAAATATTATATTTTAGTTTTAAGTAAAATATTATAAAATTTTAATATCATGAGCTCATGTTATCAGAATATTATAACAAAGCTGCCATGAAACAACTCTGTTTTTTGCATATAGATTTTTAAACTTATAAAATTAAAGCCAGAGTACTTCCCACGCGTCTCCAGAGTTGAATGCTAGTACTTGCGGGCTATAAAGTACCCAGATTCACCATTGTGTGAAGTTGAATTCAACACTAGTATATTTAATTTGGTTTATCCAATTGACTAAAATATTTATAAGCCTAAACATCTATCAAAAATGCGCCAATTATCACATAATAAAATATTTTTTTAATGATGTAAAATTTTTTAACATACCTGTGCAAAAAATACTATGTATTTTATTTTTGACCTTCCATACCTTGAAACTTTTTTTAATTTTTAATGCTTCATTAGCAGCTTTTTTCTATTATTCTTCTTGTTCTATTAAAGGTTTACCTGATAAATAATAGATAAAGAAGTAATATGATTTAATGGAGAAAGTTGTAAGAAAATTATAAACTTTATTATATAATTCAGAAATACTTTTAATAATTTAATAATTCTTTACTTACATATTCTATAATTTTTCCAAGCTTTTTGTGAGTGATAACTAGAAACAATATGAAACTTCGTTCAATAGTTTTTAAATTACTGTATATCAAATAATAATTACAAATTAATTTCTTTGATATCGTTGATAATTTACATTTGATATTTTTCCATATTTGTATACTTTGCATACTTTTGCAAATCTTATCGGATAATCTAATCTAAATCATGTGATTTAATTTAATTCAATTTATAAATTTAAAGGGCAACCACCATATGGTGATCTACCAATTTGACGGAGTGAGCACATTGCGGTCGACTCTAACCTTGTGGTAATGGTAGCATTCGGTAGACCAACGCATTATCCCCCAGAAATGGGGAGAGGTTAGAGGATAGATTTGGGGGTCCCTGAGGCATTCTCGGGGGACGCCCTAAATCTTTTATCGAAGGGTGAGGTTTTGTCGATTTGTACGGAATGTATTTTCATAGTACTATACACACTTATTAGTTCTTTTAGAGTTTTAGTGTTTGATTGCTAGATAGGCTTTTATTTGTAATAGTCATAGAAAACTCCTCTTTAAGAAATAAAAATAAAATAAAATAAAATAAAATAAATTTAAAAAGAGAAATTTTTATACTAAATCCAGTAAAATGTCCATTCGGGATAATTATTCGGGATATTGATATTAGGGAATTGAAGTTTCCCGGAAATAAACCAAATCAGGAAATGAGCAGTCGAAAATGATATATTCAGGGAAAAATGTCATACTGTAACCTTTTTATTATAAAATATTTGATAATATATTAATTAATACTAAAATAAAAGAGAGGGGTAGGGATCTCTTTATTTATCATAAGATTTCTCCGTGGCTGAAATTGTAGTAGTTTTTTCGCCATATGATATTGCTTGTCCTAATAAAATTCAGTCCAGTTATCAGTACCTCACCAACGGCCATAATATTTGAATAATCTAAATATGATTGATACTAATACCGAGGAATCCGTATCAGTTCTAATATTAACAGTATTAACAGAGAAATTATTTTCATAAGAATCATCTCCAAAAACTACGTAGTTTAATGTGTATTGCAATTTACAAAGCCATGGCCGGTCTCCTGAACTCTCCTTTCCTGTCTTTTTGAGCTCTTCTGATCTCTTGAATCCTTCCAGTCTCTTAAACTCTCCTTTCATTCTCTTGAACCCTTCTGTTCTCTTGAAAACTTCCGGTCTTGTCTTTCAAATCATGGATAAAACTTTAGACTTCACAAAATGTGAATCAGGAAAATGATTGTGGATATATAAATTATCACACAGTGACACAGATTGATCTCTTTAAGAATGATTTTTTTTTTGTTGTGATATACTTGATATTTATTTTATTTCTAAAAGAGTAAATTATTTTTCCTTATTAAATTTATTAAATTAAACTTTTGATTTACATTTATAAACTAACAAAAGTATACTGAACCCACTGTACTCGTTTAGCTCCAATATAAGTTTGAAATTTAATATATTTAAAATATTCGTTAATCATTATTGTATTACAATAAAGTAATTTCTGTAATAACAAAAAAAAAAAAAAAAAAACGATTTTTATGTGATTTGCTCAAAAAAAGTTATTTTAATTTGATTTTTTTTTTTCTAGTGAACGGAGGATTAACGGTTATCAAACTTTTTAATATTTACTTATTAACTTGTAAATAATATTGTACTATGTTATAATCGATTATTAAATTATCTGGTTATTATAATTACATGAACTAAAGATTATTAAATAAAAAAAAATTGAAAAAATGGAAAAAAAAAATTGGATAAAGTAAATTTACTCCTTAAATTAAAACACCAAAATCCAAAGAATTTGTCTATTAATTAGGTGGGATTTTTGAAGTCCATTATTAATTAATTAATTATAAGAAAATTAATTATCTTTTACTGATAAATCATAAAGAGGTAAACTAATTGGAGACAAATCAGGTGTTAAGAGAACGGCCCCTAAACAGTACCATACGGCAGAACAAGTCAAAAGACCAAAAACACCAGCGAGTTTTATGAATATAGTTGCACCACTGAAATGGAAGATCACTTCACCTAAAAATGTTATAGTCAAGAATACGAAAGCTGATAACACTCCCAAGTTTGTTCTTATACAAGCCAATGTAAAGATAAAAGTAAAAACTAGCCATGTTAAGCAAAAAACTCCCATTGTACTATGATATTGATCAGTATTAGTGGCAGTATTGAATAAGTACAAGATAGTACCATAAGATAACCAGAAACCACCGAAAGCAGAAAATCCAGTTCCACCAAAAGTGTTTCCGACTTTAAATTCCCACATACCAGAAGCGAACTATGACGTGACATTTGAATAAATAAATATATTCGAGTGCAATTGATATTAAAGAAATTTTAGCTTACTTGAACGACCCCACCGGTGAATAGGGAGACGCTGACCATAACATTTGATTGTACAGCACCGAACAGTTCGAGATTATAGAGAGCTGAAATCATAACAGACATTGCGAAAGCTGAAAGACCAAGGGGAGTAGGATTTCCAATTTTTGGTGAATGTCTTTTTGTTGACGTAGAATGAGGTCGAGACTTAGTATCAGACCTCAAATAATCCTGTATGTAAATTTGTGTGTCTGGCATTTTGTCTTTTGATTATCTTACAAAAAAAACGAAGGTATTTTTCTTTTTGGTGTTTGATAAAAAATATATATGAGAAAAAGAAAGATAATTTCAAAAAAGGGAAAATTTTGAGTTTATTTATAAATATTATCTATATTTTCTTTTCCATTATAATCAATATAATCATTAAAATTTCTCCATAAAGATCACAGATCGAGGTAAGGAGTTTAAAAAATCTTGTAAATCTCAAAATAATTATCAAAAATCTTTTTCATAGAGAAAATAGCACATGGTTCATTTATTTTGCGCAATCATACCAGAAAATTGTGTATAGATCATCGACTGAACATATGTTTATACGCTTTTGTAAGAACTTTGCAACCTTGTTTTATAGTGTAAATCCAGCGATGAGCGATCACAAAATGCTATTCATTTTTGAATAAGATCTGGCATCTTAAATTTAAAGCTTCCTTTTTTTTAAAAAAAATATTGGTTGATGATAACTTAAAAATACTAAAAATGTAAAAATTAAACTTCATATTTATTTTTCTTTCTCCGTTTTCTCCACAAATTAAAAAAGACTTTTTTATACCATAATAAATATTATGGATGATAGAATAGTAAAAGATTCGTCGTCGGAATTAATCGGATTGAACAGTCACGTGAATATTAAAAACCATTGATTAACGAATAACAAGCATTTCTATTGACATCATCTCACCTTATTAATAATCCAAACTGTTTTAGGGTTAATACTTGAAAATTGATATCATAATTGTTTCAAAAAATTCGAAAACTAATTAGGTTAATTATTTATGGTTAGAACAAGGATTGTTCCTATTTTTTTATGTAATTGTAAATCACTTTATTTGGGATGAGGGGAACTTTGCAAGGGTACTCACGCAATTTGGGTTAATATACACTTTCCCGTATTCCATAGAACCATTCTTTATGAAGTATATGGGTTTATTAACTATTTAAAGTTTAAAATCATTTTTAATCTTTAAACAGTTTTTGATTTTAATTTTTTGATTCGTGCGAATTTTTTTTTTTTTTTTTTCATTAGGAATTTGGATCCGTACACTACATAGCCTCTTAAAATTGTATGCTAGATGTAATCTATGATGTAATTATAAATATTTTTCTCTTATTTAGGGTCTAACGCGTTCTCAATTACAACTCGGGTGCTTTGATCAAGATTCAACTATATCTTGATTAGTTTATTTCTTCCATTGATTATAAAATACTCTACCTTCCCGCGAACAAAAAAAAAATAAATAAAAAAAATTCTCTAATAAAATCCGTTTTTAAAAAAAAAAGAAATAAAAAGAAATTCAAATATTTCAAAATGACTGATACTCAATCTAGCGTGAGTTTTATATTAATGTTTTTATATATATTTTATATATTTTTATAATTTCGAATATTATAAACTAATTTATTTTTTAAAAATAAATAGCTTATATTCAATAATGCTGCTCAAGACTTTGCGACTCATGCGAAAGCAAACAAATTCACCGCGGAGGAAGTATTAGAAGGATATGGTTTATATAAACAAGCCATTGCTGGAGATATTCCTAGTGGTAAAAATAATAATTTCTTAATTTTTTATTATTTTTTTTTCCTAGATTCTTTTTTAATTAAAACGAAAATAATTAATTAATTATATATATATATATATATTCTATTTATTTAATAGAAAAAAACAATTCTGATGCGGTTCAAGATATGGCATGGTCTATGAAGAAAGGCATTGCACGCGATGATGCTGCATCTCAATATATTGCTTTTGTTGACAAATTGAAATCAAAATATTCTTTATAAATTTTTAATATATTCACAACGTCATCAAAATTAAATTTTTCGAATTATATAATTATATATAAATATATTGTACATATATATATGCATTATATCGTTATTTAGGGGTTTTTTTTTACTTTTTTTTGAAATAAAAGAATTCGCTGAAAATTTGGGAATTTATTTTGGAAAGTAAAAAGTCTTCCATTAAAAATGAACAATTTAAAGTAAAATCACGTGCTCTTAAACTTGAATATTAATTTTCATGAGTTTCAAATCGTAACATCATGAATTTTTGGTTTTAAAAATCACACTTGCTCAAGTTTTTCTTCATTCCCTTTTACTGCTGGTTGACTAAGGTCGTTTATAGCCATGTCGTTCTTTCTCACAAGCATTTTACCATATATGAATATATGACCGAATTCCCAGTGCCAATAATCATATGAACACTTTTACAGACAGTAGTTGTAATGTGACTAATGTCCATAATCATGATCTACGAACCTTTGTTTGTTGGTATGAAGTCAAATGTAAAAATCTATATTCATTAAACTGCCGATGGTTGACGGATATTTTACCCGAGAAAAATTCATCAAATTAGGACAGAAATGTATTTAACCAAAGATGTATCAAAGAAATAACAAAAGTAATACAAAAAAGTTATTGGCTGCAATGTTTGTTTATTATATAGAAGTTTAAACAATTGTGTAATTTAATTATTTTATCATTCTAAAGATTTAGCTCACCGCAGTCATGACATTTTACGTTAAGCTGTGACAATGTGTATTATTAATTTCAACCATGACGTGATGTGTAATACCTGATTCAAAATTCGTGTTTAATATAAAGATGCAATCACACGTCATAAATCTGATAAATTTAATCCCGAAAACTCGGAAGTATGATTTACATAATTTACATATAATAAATAAATATTAATATTAATTTGTGATCCACCAAAATAAAAAATTAATCCCAAATTAAATTTTTTGAGACGATTATAAAATAGTAAAAAACTATTTTTAACGACGGGTGAATAATAAAATTTAATTAGTGTGACATGAAATCTGCAGTTCCGACAAATGTATTAATTAAAAACTAATATTATATGTACAAATTTGACTAGTAAATGAGAAAGATGGGATTTAGCTTATCGGGTTCAAATCATCAAAGATTAAAATTAATAATTTTCATGTCTTTATGATCTTTAGAAGGTAAGTTATCAGTTATCACTCCAGAATAAAAATTATCCCCGCAATTATCCCTCCTAAAATAGTCATAAAAATTTTATGATTTACTGATAGATCACGAATTAAATTCTTTAATTAAGCCAAGACTTTTTATTAACCAACATTACACCATTACACAAAGCTTTTTTAAGAAAAAAAAGAAAAAGATTGAATAAACAATATAATAATTTTTTTAATGATTATCAAAAGGTAAATGATGTTTCAAAATAATGAGTTTCATGTTTTGGTTTAATGTTTCTATTGCTTTTTGTTATTTTGAAAAAAAAACACACTTTTCCTTAAGTTGTTAAAAAAACAAAAGTGGTCCGTCCATTTGTAATTGACGGCATTATTTTTTGCCGAAAAAAAAAAAAAAATTTTTTATTATTAGAAAATAGTTCTACATGCGGTATATAATATGTACATTGTAGAATAAATAAATAAATAATGATATGTTCATGTGATTGATTCTATAGATTGTATATATATTTTTTTTTCCTGACGTACATAAAAATTTACTTATTTATATAAAAATTTAAATTTTAAAATAAATAAAATGACAAAATATTATGATATATCCATTCATAATAAATATAAATATAAATAAATAAATAAAAGATAGGGAAAAGTAAAGTAAAAAAAATATATATTTGATTGGGAAATATGAGACTAAATTAATACTCATACTGTATTTACGACATTTAAATTATTTAAATTATTATTACTATCAAAATCATTCATTTTGATTTCAGGATTTTCAGAATTATCAACATTATCGTCATTTCTATTAAATAAATGTTTAAATGAACGAACCAACCAAGTGGGAAATAAATTAACAGAATTAGCCAAATGTTGTGAATTATAATCTAATGTCATATTTTCATCAGGCCAATCACCATTAAAAGTTTTTCTTGATGCCTTAATATATCCTTTGGTTAATTTATCAATTAAAGTTACCGTCGTATTAATAATAATATAAGATCCAATACCAGCAATTAAACCATAAGCAATACTATAAGTTAAAGGCATTAGAGCTATAGTAAGAAAAGCTGGTACGGAATCTCCAATATAATCCCAATTAATATTTTTAATAGATCTTGCCATCATACTACCAATAACTATTAAAGCAGGTCCTGTAGCCCATGGAGGTATAGAAGCGAATATTGGAGCAAAAAATATACTTATACCAAAACAGAATGATGTTACTAAAGCAGTTATACCAGTTCTACCACCTTCATTTATACCAACACTTGATTCTATAAAAGCAGTTACAGGTGAAATACCAAATAATGCACCAATAGAAATAGAGATAGCATCACAAATAAATGCTGCCGTTGAACCTTCAAAATCACCAGTTTCATGATTCATATAACCACCAAATTTTGCTATAGAATATAAAGTACCTGTAGTATCTAATATATCAACATATAAGAATGTAAGAAGTGCAACCCATACTTCACTAGTACTAAAATCGAAATTCATTACAGCTAAATTATTATCAACTAAATGAAAACTTACAACTTTTTTAAAAAATTCAAATCTATTTTCTCCAACTTTTGTATCTGGAAAATATGTGAAACTAGTATTTTTAAACCATGATATTATACTAATTAATATTATACCTATTGATAAACTTCCTTTAACTTTATATAAAGTTAATATAGTTATTATAATAAATCCAAATATTCCTAATAAAGTTGTTGCACTTTCCATATGATGATTTAAACATCTTCCCGTTTCATCTAGATCAGATTGTGGACATCCTCCTAATGTTACTAAAGTTGATGGATCATAACTAATTAATCCTATACCAGCAGATTTTTGTAATCCAATAAATGTTAAAAATAATCCTATTCCTGTTCCTGTTGCAGTTTTTATACTCATTGGTATAATTCTAGCTAAATATTGTCTTATACCAAGTATTGATAATATAACAAATAATATTCCTTCTAAAAATACTGCTGATAATGCTGCTTTATATGATATTTTACCATTACCATGATATCCAACAACTGTATAAGTAAAATATGCACTTAATCCCATTCCTGGTGCTAATGCTATTGGTAAATTTGAAAATAATCCCATTATTGTAGTTCCTATACATGTTATTAATGCAGTTGAAATTATTAAATCATGTTTAATAATTCCTAAACATTTTTCATATGTTTCATCTCCTATACATGATTTATTTAATTTATTATTACATTCACATGATCCTCCACTATCCGCTATTATTGCTGAATTAACTGTTATGATATATGCCATGGTAAAAAATGTTGCTATTCCTGCTCTAACTTCTGTTGTAAATTTCGTTCCTTCTCTTGATAAAGGTGATAATGATCCATCCAATCTAAAGTATTTTCCTATAGGTGATGCCGCGACATAATGATTTAATTTACTTATTCTACCCATGATCGATTGTAGAGAACGTAAAAAATAAAAAGAAAATAAAGAAATGAATGAATAATAATGATTTAAAAGTTAAACTGATTTATTATTTTTATTATTTTTTTTTTTTTTTTTAAAAAAAAAAGAAGAGATTTTTTTTATACATATATAAGTAGATTATTAAAAATATATAAATGTAAAACAAAAAAAAAACATTACTAATATATATGAAATATTTCAACAAATGATATTTGCATATTTTTTACGCCGAATAACAATGAATCCCAAGGAAAAAAATATTTCATAATAAACAAATAAATATGAATAAAATAAAAATAATCCTTTCTTTAACTGTTAATTTTATTCTCACCAAGAATTTTAATATATTTTACCAATAACAAACAATTTATTAATTATATCAGCAAAACATCATCCAATTTAATAATCATAATAATAATATATAATAAAAAAAATTTGATATAGTATATTATATTTTTAAATTTTTTTTCTTTCATTTGATATAAATTAATAATTTTTATTTCTATAAATGAAACTTTCTTGGTAAATTTTTTGGACACGTGAAATCGCCGAATATTCTATTTGTTTCGACTTTCAGTATCTATTACTATATATGTCACTGATTGGTTTAACTCGAAACATAATAGTTTCGGCCCCTTACAAATAAAGACGGGATTCAAAAGATATACAAATATGCATTACGTATTCTATTTATTAAATACATTTTGAATGTAATGAAAAGGTTGCCGATGAATACATTGAACCCGTAATGATCTTCAGGCTTATTAGCACGTGATGTTTAAATTTGTTTAAATATTTTCGGGGTCAAATCCTCTATATAGTATTTATTTCCATTAACTTTTGTTAAAATGATTATCATTATTCAGGTTTAATACCAATCAAAATGATAGAAAATTAGAATTTGGGAAGTTACTTTATGGGCAAAGTTATTATTATATTGAAAGATAATTGGAAAATGAAATCATACGATAATTGAATATTAATCACGTGATCAATCGAAAATCCACACGTGAATCAGCAATTATGATTTCGATACTTATTTTTTTTTTTTATAAATTGCTTCTGAAATACTGTTCATTGTCCTCAGTATGTTAGAAATAAGAGATACAAGGTTGAAACACAGATTGTTGGAAATAAATAAATAAATAGAAATAATTGACTAATATGGTTAAAACTTAAAACCACATTGAATTCCTTACTTAACCCAGGGTCCAGGGGATGTGCATTTGAAAGTTTCCGATGACTTTTTATTGGAATAGAACCTTCAAATTCTTCCAATTCCAATCATTTCCAACCTTTTTTCTCTAAATCTATGGTATCGGAAATTCTCTATTGGAATTGGTAAAATTGGAAGTTTCAATAGTTTAGGTTAAGCAACTTACATTTAAACATCCAATTAGATATTCAGTTTTTGATATACAGTATGACAAATTTGTCCAATAATTTATGAACAATGTAAACATTATTTGGACACTTATCCCAATGTCCAATAGGACGACATCCAAATCGAACACTGATAGCTTACAATCTTGCACTGATCTTAACCTGCAACTAATTATCAATCTTTTATTATCTAACTTATTTTACATTATCATACTTAATCAATTTCATTGGGAAAATATCGCGATTCATTATTTTTAATTCGTGATCTTTTAAAAGACTTTGTAAGTTTTATGTAATTTATACATTATGCGTGTAGTAACTAGTAATTAGTATCGATATTTAGAAAATGAGACGTGTTGAAGTAAGTATCCTACTACTTATCATGACCTTAAATTTAATTCTTGGAGAGAATTTAGCACATTTCCTTTAATCGCTGATATTTGTAAATCTATATTAGCAGGATAGATAATCGTAAAAAATAATTACACGATATAAATAAGAAACAATTTAAGAAATCAAGGTTCTTTGTACTTTTTAACAATAAAAAAATAAAAATAGTAAATTTATTATATAACTGATATCATAATATATAAATAATATATAAAATAATTCATATAAATAAAAAAAGCTAATTATTCAAATATCATAATAAGTAATAACTCACAAAATTACTGAGCGGTTTTATACATAATATCAGTTCTAATAACATATTTAATACCATCAATAAGTTTTGAACCTTCATGAAGTAATTGATGTTCAAATATAAGTACTCTACCAGGTTTTGGAACTACAGGTATTCTAACATTTAATGAATTATTAAGAAAAGTAGTTTCACCACCTTTGATAACCTTCATTTAAATATAATTGTAAAGTAACAAAAGAAGTTTCACTACCATCATCACGTCTATACATACCATCTTGATGATTTTTAAAAAATTCTCCTTTTTTATATTTTAAAAAACGTAAACGTTCATTTAAACAAGATATAGGGAATGATTTTTTACGCCTTTGCCAAGTTTGAGGTAATACATGAGATATTCTATTAAATATTTCAGATGATAAAATAAAATCATCCCTAATATATCTTGAACTATTCCTTACATCTTTTGCAGAAATTTGTTTTCCTCCACCAATATTAAGTAAAGCTTCTTCATATTTTATATTAGGATCATTTTCAGAAAGATTTATTAATGTATTACATTCTTCTAATGTCAATACATTATCAATAATGAATGCCAAAGGTTCATAACCATAATAAATTGATGATAAATCGATTGGTATAATTTTTAATGAGTTAATATCAAAATCTGAATTTAAAATATTTTTAGATTCATTAGATGTTTCCATTATATCCATTATATTAAATTTATTTTGATAAAATCTTTCTGATATAAAAAATTTTAATCTTGATTTTATAAAAAAAATTGTAGATTTTGAATTTAAATAACGAGGATAATGATTTAGGTAACCTCTAATAAACCACATATTTATATAAAAAAACTTTCCGGAGTTGTTTATAGTAAGAACATTCGCTTTATATAACCATTTTAGTTATTATTGAGGAACACAGAAAATGTCAGTTCATGTAATCATGTAAACAAATGACTACGCCATTGATTCTTGTCCAATTAAATTTCTTTATTTCTGGAAAGCAATTAGCCACAATAATGAACTCTCAAAGATTTACAAAGGGGGAAATGATATAAAATAGAAATGGATTTCTTAAATTATACAAGAAAGAAAAAAAATTCCTTTAACTTCCATATTTTTCTTTCATTTTTGCAACAAAATCAACATATTGTTTTTGTGCATCCTCAGGTGTAATACCTACCGAAGTAAAGTAGTAAAATAAGCACGGAGTATATGATCCGATTGAGTATTTTATTAAAAAAAATGAACTCTAACCTTTTTTAGTATTGTAAGCATTCCATTTTGCTTTATCAGTCCTTGCAAAAAAACCTGGTTCGGCTATAATTTATACAAAAAAAAAAAAAAATTAAAGTAAGAAAGACATCCAGATTTGATTTTACTTAATAATAATAATTACGTTTAGTGTTATCTCCGAATGATCCTTGTTTAAATAAAGCATATCCTTCCAATTTGTCTTCATCAGATGGATTATGATTCTTTACAACTTCCTCAAATTCTTTAGCGGCAGCATCAAATTCGGCCTAGTTATTCCGAAATAAATAAATAAAAATAAAATATTTATCTTTAATTTTACGTTTTGGTTTTTCTCATCTCTTTAAAAAAAGGATAACTTACACTACGGTTAATATCTGTCATTTTTATCAAAGTTTTTGAATAGAATAAAAAAAGTAAAAAAGTTTAAAAGTAAAGAACCAAATGTAGTAAAAAAGGAGTTCCTTTAGTTTTTTTAAAAAAAAATCAATGAACAACAACTTTATTTATAAGGAAAAAAAAATTAGATTGATCGAGGTTTCACAAAAATTAGATTCAAATTTGACTGATTCACTGTGATTATCTTGTGACTATAATATGCGCTTGCTAAGCAAAAATTATATTAGCTTATGTCGCAAGTCTCTCTTACAACAATCATCATTTGATAATAATAATGTAGACGACCGCTGTCTTTTTAAGATTGCTCATCATATTATACCACTGCTCCGTTATTCATAATATACAAATCAAAATTATCATAAATGCAGATTACAAATGTTAACCTGCATCAGTGGAAAATACGGTGAAAAGAAATGTAACACAATCCATCTTTGATTTATGTTAAATTCATGAAATGTGGGACATTTCGGCAAATTATTTAATTAATTTGACCAATTAAAATGTTAAACGTGACTACATTTTTTTTTTTTTTTTAAAAAAAAAAAAAAAAATTCATATACAAAAAAATAAATTTCTAACATTATTATAAATTTTTTTATATTTCAAATATAAATCTTAAATATGTGGTTTTAAAAAACTACTACAATACATATAAATGTTCACCAATTATCTTTACCACTCTTTTCCATTTATTTTATAAACAAATCGGTAAAGATAAACTTCATCACACATGATATTTCATTACCACCAACCGTTTGTATTCCTGATAGAGTGAAACTCTAATAAAGCATATCCATTTTGTAATATATATATAAAGAAAACAAATGCATTTCTCATTTCTCTTGAATTTGCAAATTAGTTTCTAATAAAAAGAAAGAAAGAAAGAAAGAAATTAGTTTAAATTTGAATAAAATAAAATCTCCTCAAATAATCGACTATTTCTTGATGTAAATTATTCATCTCTTGCAGATTTCTGTTATTTTGCTGAATTAATCATAATCACTTACCAATCCATAATTCAATCTATTCTAATAATTTGGATAACAGGTTCGTTGGAAATAACGATTGAATTCATCTTCTATAATCTGAAGGTGGAGGTATTTCAGGTATTTTGTATAATTCAAATTCACTTGACGCAAATGCTTGCATTTGTGGATTGTTTATTGTACCTTGGGTATTTCCCGGTTGTGGTGGTTGTTGTTGCTGCATATGTTGCTGCTGCATCATTTGTTGTTGTAACATTTGCTGCTGTTGTTGTTGCTGTTGTGCTAACATTTCTTGCTGTTGTTGCATTTGAAGTAAATATTGCTGTTGTTGGGGATCAGGTTGTTGAGGTTGCTGTGGTTGTTGATAACCGCCGAATATCGAACCAGGACTTGGTTGAGCTGGAGTTACCGGATAATTCAACGAACTAGTAGCATTATAATTAGATGCTCCAAAACCTGAAGGATTCGTTCCAAATAAAGATGGTGTAGGTGCAGTAGGTTGATTATACGACGACAAAAGTGAAGGTGTACTAGGTTGGTTAATAGATGAACTAAATGGTGAAGGTGTAGCAGTTTGTGTAGGTGCACCTAAAGCTGGAGTTCCATATGTTCCTTGCCGTTGAGGTGTAGGTTGTTGCTGAGGCTGAGTTGGTTGACCGAATGCGAATCCGCTAGATGCTTGTTGTTGCGCTAGTTGCTGTCTTTTAGTATCAAATCGAGTAAGAGCAGAGCGTAAATCTCTTAGGATAGTATCAATTTGGCCTTGCATACGTTCATCAAGATCTTTCACACCAGCACGCTAGATTGGTTAAAAAGTTATTGAATTATCTACAATTCGTTCCTACTATGGCCACCTTTGAAGATCCCACTTCTTTCTGATGGACTATAATAATGTATAAAAAAAAAAAAAGGAAAAGAAAATATTGTTCTAAAAAAATATCCAAATTCCGATACATACATATGCAGAGTCCACTCCATTCGTACTCATGATACTATAGTACTGTACTCGTAATTCTTCGGCAGAGAAGTCCGTACCCTCTAATAAATTTGGTTCTTCTTTTGCCGGACCGTAACAAGAGTACTTGTATTCAGGACGGTCTCTTGATAAGTCGGCTCTTACAGATTTATCACTAAAAAATTAATTACATGCGCATTAATGATCTAATTTGTACCAACATAAATATAATAAATAAAACAACACATACTCATATATTCTGTTAGGAGGGTAATCTGTAGAAGTGCTTGCTATTTAAAAAGATAAAGTTAGAAGGTGAAAAATAATTTTATGAATTTCAAAACTTATCAAAAAGAAATTTGAATTTACGGAAGCCTAATCGTCCTCTCAGTGGATTACTCGAATCTGTACCAAAACGATTATTACGTTGTTGAGCGTCAACCGGATGTTCATTTCTACAGTTTGAGCCAAAGTTACATCGACCCTCCAAGAAAAACTTACAAACAGTCATTTCAGCTTGTTCCTTGTTAGAATTTTGCTTGATTTCTACTATCGTGTGAAAGGCCGTTAGCGAGAAAAGTTGTGGCTGTTTTATACACTAGTTTGCTAGTTTATATAATCTTTTGATAATCCAGGATGTTCAAACAAAGTCTTTTTTTACTTTCCTTTTATAGAAACAATATTAATATAATCAGGCCGGAATTACGTACTTTATTCTTTTATGACTTACGTTATTTAGGATGTAATTGTCTAGCTTCCGCAGCGAATCATTAGGAAAATCTGATTGGTTTAATAACAAGCCCAGTATTAGCCACAAAACGTTTAATACGCGTCAAACTTTATTGGCCAAAACATCGATTCGAGTTTATTAAACACGTGATTTGCATTTACGAAATTATGGGAATTATGATTAATTATAACAATATCGATATATCAATATTGTTTATTGTTATTTTATACAATGTACGTAATACGAAATAAAATACATTATAGATAACTCTAATTTTTTTGCTGTAGATCGGCTATATATGTAATTAAGTCCGAACCCCGAAGTACTGTATTGTTGTACATCGTCACGTGCCGGTCGGACTTGTATCTTCAAGAAAATTTTTGCCTAAATTACATATATGCGGCATATCACATGAAGAGGTATTATTGACACAAGAAATATAATCATGTGATTAAAGAATCATTTGTCCACTCATTCAATTTGATTTGGAAAAATGAATGTGTAAATATCTTTAATTCCAGTCAGCTTGAAGTTTACTTCGGGGTCCCTGCTGTGTCGCTTAAAATCTTCGAACTAATTCGTTACACTTCGGATTAATAAATACTGTAAGTTATACATATAATTTTTTTTTTAATTATGAAAAGTTGTAAGATTCAAAGTTACAGTATGTATGTCATCTCGCTAAAATCGAGATCCTGTATCATACCCGATTTGTCTATAAAATTTCCGATTACACAAAACCGTCAAAACGCACATGGTTTATGTCCCTCCCTCCCTTGAAAAAAAACGTGTCATATTTCATATTTCGCTTGCTTCTCTACCATTACTTTGTCCGAAAAATTACTAATGAAGTTTCTGATTGGATAATTTAACAAATCAGCCAATAGTAATTTGAATATTTTGACCAATCAATATTTTGCATTCAAGAAGACACAATCTTATTTTCTTGATCAAAGTGATCGGAGTTGTTTTAGACCCTAAATCAGATATTGCGTAAAGAGAACGAGATCCATTCAAACAAAATTTTGATCAAATTAAGGCTGAAAATGATTTTACCTTGGGAGGAAATATATCTTCATCACTTCATGTAATAATGGGAATATCAAGAGGAGTATAGTGGATGAAATTAATTTGTGGGTTAAAAGTACGATAATGATGCTCGATTTATAATACACCAAATTGACAAAAATGGCTGAGCCGCGAGCAATTAAGTACACAATGCACATACTCTTAATACTTGACATGAAACACAACTTCAGAACTATGGGATAATCGTAGTTCTTCAGACTACTATAGACGCAAGTCATAACAGATGACTCCTAGGAGAATCGTTATTTTGAAAAAAAAAACCAGGAAATAACCGTAGTTTTTGACTAACTCTGCAGTAGCCTACGTTACAGGATCAAGCAATATTTCACTAGAAACCAAAAATACTGTTAGTACAAGTAATCGATATGCTTGAAAAAGAAAATTAAATAGCACTTGCAAATATCAAAAGGAAAACTTGCAGTTTCATATAGGTGCTTACAGTATAATTCTTGAAAAGCTAGCGTGAGTCACAAGCCTTAATCCTCAAACGCTCAGTAGTTACGTTATATTGTCTTCTGTAAGAAAATCTGGTTACAAACCAACCTTCTGAGGAAGAATAACCATAGTTTTTACAATCTATGCTAGATCATATCTCGAACTGGAAAACGAACGCGTTTTGCATTGCCAGTAGCACACATCAAGTCATGTGATGTGTAATATTTTTATCACTCGCAAAAAAAACGCAAAAAGAATTATTATAGCTTATCAAGTTGAATTCAAGCCTGACTTTGGCTTAACTTAAGCTGGATTATGATTTGGCAGAGCATTAAACATTCCTATAAAAAAGATAGCAAATTAGCTACTGGTCATGCCAAATTTTGTAACAAGTGCTAATAATATAATTTGCTTTTAATGTTATTTCCAAATAAAGGTATATATCTGCCAGGAAACACTTTTTCAGACAATGATTGTAAATCATTATAACAAGATACATCAAATGATGGTGAATTCATATCTCTAAAAAGGTATTTTTAAAAAACCTTAAAACAATAATAAATGCTAATAACTTTTCATTTGATGCATTTTATTATGCCAATGAGTTTGGTTTATTCTTCTATAACTAATACATAATGTAATATTATAATATTTTTGCATTAAATTTAAAACTAGTTAAAAAATATTTGCTAGTCAAGTGGAATATTTTAGAGTTTAATACATAAACTAATTACTATAAATAAAGTATCAATTCCCATAAGGGTAAATAAAAAAAATAAAATAAAATAAAACTAGTTAAAATATATTGAATTTTTAAAATCAAATTTTAATATAAAAATTGAAAAATAATAATATTATATTAGGAAATAGAAAAATAAACTAAAGTTCATTTGATTCATTAAATATAGTATTTTTATATTTTTAGCTTTAATAGATAAAAATTATTAGAATTTATTATTTTAAGATTTTTGAAAATAACTTCTTATTTATTAATTTTAAAAATATAAATTTACTATTATTTGATATATTTTTAGAATATTGGAAAATCCAATTTAATTATTTCAAATCCAATTTGAATATTAAAAAAAAATTTAAATCTGAATTGGCTAACTCCAGCTAGTATTATAGCCTAATTTTGGCTAAATTTGAATTTAAATCTGGTTATTTTTTTAAACCTAATAAATTATTTATTTGTAAATAAATATATTTAATAAAGAATAGGTAAATTATATATGTAGCTAAAACTTTTCAGAAATATGACTAAATTTGAAATTCTAAAACTTCAGTTTAAAACTAATGCCAAAATCTGAAACTTTTGCTAAAACTTTATATAGGCTGAAATTATTTTTTATTATAATTGAATATTTGAAACTAAACAACTTACAGATTTTGTTATTATTAATATTAATACTTAAATATAAAAATCTTTGTATTCTGAAACTAACTATTATCATATTTTCAGATTTTTTTCATTTTATATTAAAAAATAAGATTCAATATTTATATTCAAAGCAATATCTAGATTATATGTTTGAGATATAACCATATCAATTATATTTTCATCATCATCCCATATTTTATTATCAATTTCACTAATAGTTTTGATTATTTCTTCATATAGAAAAATGAGAAAATTTTCTAAAAATATTAATAATATAGTAAAGTTTGAATAATATTTTTTAGAATTAGATACTTGGTACATTTTATAAACTATTCCTATATTTTACTAATAGAACTCCACCAACTTTTTCAAAAAATTGCATAATATCATAATATTTTTAAATTTAAATGTTAATATTTAATTAAATTATTAATAGTCATTACTATTATAATGTTTATTATAGTAGATTAAGGAGAGTAAAAAGGAAAAAAATAAAATAAAAAATAAAAAATAAAAAAGGTATAAAATTTATAGGTTTAATATGGGATAAAGAAAAAACTTTTTTATAAAAAAAATTGATTTTTAATATTAGATTTGTATATTTAAATTAATCATTAATCTGATTATACAAATATAATAAAGGCTTGCATCGATGCAAAGAACATTTATACCGTTTGGTGACAACTGGTATATCGCCTCCTTGGAAGTCTAAGAAAATTTCCATTCAACATAAAAAAAACAATAATAACAATAAAAAAAATTATGATAAAGTTGCAGCATAGTGGATCTCGTGATCACCAGATATTGAAGATAGGGCCTTTATGGCTAAGATGACCTATTACCAAATGAAGTCTACCTACAGAATTAAACGATCACTCAACAGTGCACACATGAGGTACTACCAGTATGACAAGTGGTTTGTAGTTTAATTATATTAGAGTAGTTATTAAGGAATTTTACTTTGTATATATTTTCTTTATTTTTTTTACTTTAATAAAACTGCAAATGCGCTGCGAAAAAAAAAAAAAAATTAANGTTAGTAACATTAAAATGTAAAAAGTTAGGAAAATAAAAAGATAAAGAACACAAGTTTTCTTACCTGATATTTTAAAAGAATGTTGAAGAAAAGTTAAAAGGTTAAAAAAAACATAAACAAAAACATTTCGCGTCGTCATATTTATTTTGACGATCAGATCACGTGATCAACACATATAATTTTAAGAGTTGATTTTTACTGCATAATTCTGGCCAAATTATAATTCCAGTCAGAACTAATTGTGTAACCTAATAAAAAGTTTTTAACTTTTTTTTAGTTACAAGATAATACAAAAATTTCACCAATGGGTCCGGAAGATGTCCGAATATGCAGTTGAATTTGTGTAACCTTACTGCATAAATCACTTTACTTAGGAAAATCTATTTGTAATGGTTAAAAGTGGTATATTAGACCCTAAAAGTGGTCAAATGTAACCATACAGGTAAGATGGAAAGTAGTATAGTAGGATTACCCAAAAATTGCTTTCCGTATCCTAAATTTAAGTCTATTTTCAAGTTGTACAATAAGTCAATAATCACAATTTTTATTGTACAAAAATTGAATGTTTTCTGTATCCTAAATTTAAGTTGTATAAAGATCACACAAAAATTGAACATTTTCTATATCCTAAATTTAAGTTGTACAAAAATTGCATACTTTTAATATGCTTTGAAAAACTTCAAAACTATTTTTATCCAAAAATCTGCAATAATTGTACAATTTCCACACGGACTTGAACAAATATTGTACAAAAATTGGATGATTTTTTTTCATAGGGCCAATTTTGATTTTTATTATCCCAATTACATATAAATCCATCAATACATTTTTCTCTATATACAATAGAATACCCGCCTTTTGCAATGCGATTAAGATCATAAAATTTATTATAAGGTATCCATTCTAATACTTCACAGCTATAATTTGCTGATAATTGAGTTTTTTGAATGCATTTATCAATATCATCATTACCACTAGTCCAATTTTTAAAATTTTGTTGAAAATGTTTCGCATTACATGCATTACACCATTCATATCCGGTATTTTCTTGATTACATTCTTCACATATTCCCCATGGTCCACTCATAGTTAAATTATTTGGGTAGTAATGTTAATCAACTTTACAAATTTTATTTAACAAACGATAAATAATAAATAATTATGTACAGGAAGAAGTATCAAACCTGAATATTTATTTCAAAAAAAAAACCATTCTTTCCGTTTTTGGCATTAAAAGAGACGAGAACAGCATTGTATAACAAACTTGATCATCAATAATTTACTGCGCCAAAAAATTTGAATAATTAATGCTTTACTTTTTCACGACTGTATGACATAACGTTACAAGTAATGTGATTCGCCTGATAAAATAACGTAAAATAAAATGAATTGAGGTTTATTTAAATTCTTTGATTATAACCTAATTTATTATAAACAATCAGATGATTTATTCCTATGAGAATTTCAAATTGTACACGGGTGTTTGAAACCCGTATTATCAATCACGTGATATAATAAATTTTTAAAATTTACACAAGGGTTTAAACCCGTATTATTACAAGTCACGTACTGTTTATTTTTGCGTTACATTTTTGTGGCTGTATCGATCATTTTGTTCTTTTCTCTTCTTTTCATTATAAGAATATAAGATGTTTAGTAATAACAATAATACCCATCCTTATGATAACACCCATGATAATCAAGAAAGTATTTCTTATGATAACACCCATGACTATAATAACATCCGTGATAATATTCCTAACAATAATACCCTATTTTATGACGCCTATAAAAATTTTCTTTATGACAACACTCACGAAAGTCTACCACCCACTTATGATAATAATACCTACTATGAAAATCTATCTTATGACGTCAGTTTACCCTATGACACCCTTGAAAATCTATCTTATGATACCTATCTACCTTACGATACACGCGAAAATTTTTCTCACGATGTTATCCTAGATTATGATGTCCCCCACAAAAATCTAAATGAAAACCTATCTGATTGTAATGAAAATCAATCTAATCAAGTAATAAATTTTTTTTTCTTTTATCATTAATTTCGTCTTCTAATAAGCAATCTAATTATTTTGTTTCTAATGTTTGTTAATAGGATTATGAAACAAGTGATAATGAAGATGAATTGGTTGAACTTACAGATTCTTTGGAATTGATTGCTGGATTAACCTTCAACAGCTGGGACGAATTTAAGAGTTGGATTAATAGATTTGCTTTAAAAGAAGGTTTTAGATATAAAATCAGATCAAGTGAGAAGATTGAAGGCATAATACGAAGGGTAGCCTATGAATGTATCAAATCAGGTTCAAATACTTCTCAAGTAACTTCTGATCCAACTAAAAGACGCAATGCCAGCTCTTCAAAAACATCATGCCCTTGGAAACTTAATGTTACCTATCCAAAAACAAGTGGTGTTATAAAGATCAATTCTTTTAATAATGAACATAATCACTCACTTACTTCAATAGTTCATGAAATAGCACCGCGATTTCGAAAATTAATGCCTGAAATGCTGGTGGATATTGAAAAGTATGTGATTCAAGGTCAAATGGACTCAGCATCTATTTATCCTTTACTTAAGCATGACTATCCAGATCAACCTATATATAAAAAGGATTTGTATAACGCGGTCTATCAATTTCGTCAAAAAAATAACCCTGGAGATACAGATGCTTCCCAGATGCTTGAACTATTAATGCAATGGAAGGATTCCAATCCACTATGGATTGTGAAACTTCAGCTAGATCCTGTCTCAAGAAAACTAAAATCTCTCTTGTGGATGTCACCTACACAAAAGGAACTATATAAAAAATACAATGATGTTACTATTATTGATACCACCTACAATACAAACAGATTTCAAATGATGCTTTGCATCATAGCTGTAGTTGATAACAACTACAAGTCACGAATTGTTGCAACTGCTATAATTGATGATGAAACACTAAATACATACCGATGGTTATTTGATACTATTCTTACTGAAACAGGTATTTCTCCTGGAGTTATTTTTACTGATTCAGATCCTTCTATGATTCAATCAATTAAAGAAATTTATGTGAATACCAAGCATCTATTGTGCATTTTTCATATTGATTTGAATCTTCGAAAAAAACTCAAGGGAAAATTAGGAAATAAGTTTGAAGAATTTCGCCATAAGTTCTATATATGCAGGAATTCTCTTTGTGAAGACCTATTTGAACTTCGATGGAATCAATTGATTGATCAATATCCAGCAGCAGCAAAGTATTTGTCTGATACACTTTATATTAATAAAGAGTCTTGGGCAATACCTTGGATTCATAAAAGATTTACTACTGGAGCACAAAGCACACAGAGAATTGAGTCAATCAACAGACATATACATGATAAAGTTGATCGAGCCACTTAATTATATGATTTACTACTTAGTATCAAAGATAAAGTTAGAAATGAAGAACATTTTGAATATTTTGAACTCGAACGAAATGCCATACCTACAATTGGTATGCCAATGCTAAATACAAGATTTTTTGGTTCTGTAGATAATGTCATGAAGGCCTTTTTAACGCCTATAATGCTTGAAAAACAAAGATCACAAATGAATCAGTCTGTATGTTATGATATTAATCGAATTACAGAATGGCAAAACTTAATAGATGTAAGTGGTTCTATTAGTGTTGATTATAATAATCTTAAACTAACAATTACCTTATAGGTGGAGATTGATAATGAAGAGATAAGCAATGGAATCAGGGAACAAGAACAAGATGTTCGGCAAATTCTTTTCAAATCCTTGATTAAGAATATACCACCAGAAGCAATCCTAGAAGTATGGTTTGTCCGAGCAACTGGAACTCAAGGAATTGGTCATTATGTGGTTCTGCTT